CTTCTCAACCCCACCCGGCCCCACTCAGCCCCACTCGGCCCCACTCAGCCCCACTCACTCGGCGCTTCCTGTCCGTGAATACTTCTACTTTAAGAGGATTTAAGGTAATAAGGCCCCAATGCATGCCCAACCCCTTCTCAACCCCACCCGGCCCCACTCGGCCTCACTCAGCCCCACTCGGCCCCACTCTGTCCCTCTTCCCCCTTCCTGTCAGTCTCCTTCTTCTGCTTTACGTGGATTTTATTAGGCCCCAATGCATGCCCAACCCCTTCTCAACCCCACCCGGCTCGGCCCCACTCGGCGCTTCCTGTCAGTGAATTCCTTTACTTTAAGAGGATTTAATTAAGCCCCAATGCATGCCCCACCTGGCCCCCCCTCAGCCCCACTCGGCCCCACTCGTTCATGTTCATGTTCTCGACGTCAACTGGTTAGTAGTTTAGACGCCTTCGCGCACATCGGCGTAGCGGAGATCACCAGCACGAACGAGCTGGAGAATCCGCGAGCCGCCAGGCATCGAGACTAAACCAAAAGAGCCTCCTAGAAATCGAAGAGAAAACCAAGCGTGTCCTAGAGGTGGCCCGCAGTGTGTGTAACAGATTGGACTTCACCGTCAAGGGCACAATGAGCAGCGCCAGGCTGCAGTTAAGGCACAGGCCAAGGCTTATAGGGCCGCCTTTTGGCGGAAGACACAGTCAGAAGGCAGTGGGGCCAGGAACGTTGCAATCGAAAGTCCTGACTCACAGGCTTCAGGCACTTCCTTGCCGGAGCTTCCATTCACTCATGCACTGGCGGAGGAGCTCGTGAAAGCGATCACACACTCCCTGCTGAGCCGAAAGCGCGCGAGCACTCCAAGCTTCAGCCTGTTCAAAGCGAGCAACAGCAGCATCCCAGTCCGGCCGCAATTGCAGCAGAGTGGAGGAGCACCTAGCATCTGCAGCAGCATTGAGAGCACGGACAAGCGCCGTCTGACGCGGCTCCAGTGCTTGCCATCTAGCTTGCTTGCCATGCGACGGCACCCATGCAACTACGAGATCACGACGGATCGTCCTAGACACCGCCTGCCAAAAGGCAGGGTTGGAGCCGGACCATATGCCAAGCGAAAGGCCCCGGCGCAGGCGCAGCACCAGCGAGAAGTTGTCCAGGTAGAGCGTGGCGGGCACGTCAGCATGGTGAAGGTGACGAAGAAACTGCCAGAGGCCGGCACGCTCTGCGGCATGCGGCGACTGGTCCATTCCAGCGACGAGGCCACCGAAGACAGTCCGGCTCTTATTCCCTTCAAAAGCAACAGCCCAGGCGGCTCGTTGCCACCACTCAAGCTGGGGGCGAAGAAAGGCTCCGCCGTCAGAAGCACACAGCACCCTGCCCTCAGCATAGCCTGACGAAGAGCCTCAACAACCTCCGGGTCAACTTGAGGCTCAGGCAAGGGGCGGGGCAAGCTGCGAGGAAGAGGCAGCGGAAGCAGCCGCAGGAGCAGAGCCCGCTCGCAGCGAGCACCTCTATCGAGAGGCCAGGGTTTAGCGGGACACTCAAAGGTCAAGTGGGTTCTGGAGGGCAGGGGCTCCTCACAGGCGCAAGGCAGAAGCCGGCTGAGGAGGCGAGCATCAGCCACACAGGCCGTGGCAGTGCGCAGGACACGGCGGTCCTGCCCTTCCACGAAGCGACGAGCAGGACCAAAAGCCGGAAGGGACAGAGCAAGGTCGTGCTCACTGCTCTTGGGGTCCAAAGACCAGACCTGCTGAAGGAAGGCGTAGTCAGCGACACGCCTGAGACACCCGAGGCCATCCCAACCAGGGCGCAAGACGCCGAGCCCAGTGATCCAAGAACCGTCAGGGGCGGAAGTCCAGCCCCACTTGCGTTGAAGAGCGACCCACCTCGGAGTGATGGTGTCAGAACCCAAGCGGTAAGCAGCTGGGAGAGAACAGCGAAGCCACTCCTGACGCACCGTGGCCCAAGCCAGCGAAGGCGAGGTCTGCCACGTGCCCCAACGGCAGCCGGGAACGAGTCTTATGACCCCCTGGGCCAGGGCCACGGCCCGAGTCCAAGTGTCAACGTGGGTCTGCTTACAGTGGGTCCCCGACCCCGCCCGAGCAAAGAGAGGGAGCACCAACTCACGGCACGCCGGAGAGGCAGCCGCCAGGGCAACGCCCTCACAGCACCGCTGAACAGAAGCCGTGAGAGCAGTGGTGTCCGGAAGGCACGTGGTGCCAAAGGTGTACGGGACGCCCAAAAGCACAAACTGCGTTTTGACAGTGCCAACAACCAGGGCCTCCGCCTGCTGGGCAGCTCGTTCGCGCGCCGTGGTAGCGATAGAGCCAAGCTTCTCCGGGCGCAACCAGGGGCCGCGGCAGTCGTCGAAGGTGGTGCCCGCACGGGCAGCCGCGACAACAACCTGGGAAGCCTGCCTCCCCACACGCCGCACGGTTCTGTCGTCAAGGTAAACGGCCAGGGAAGCCCGCGGCTCGGCAGCCTTAACGACACGGACCCAGAGGCTCAGACGCAGAAACAGAGGCGAAAAGGGGCAGCCCTGGAGGAGCCCCAACACCGGAGCGACAGGGGAGTGGTGGTACACACCTTGCCAAGCGACGTGGCGCTCTTGCCGGGAGTAGAACGCCTTCAGCAAAGCCAGAAGAGAAGGAGGAGCCCCCAACCACCTGGCGACCTCAAAGGCCTGGTCAAAGGACACGGAGTCAAAGCACCGCTGCACGTCAGCCTTGTGGCCGGCCATGGGCAAAGAATTAGTTCTGGCACGACGGGCGTCACTTGCTCAGCACAAGAGCGACCAGGCACGGACCCAAGCAGCTCAGCGGGAACCCAAGACAAGGTCCAGGAACGGAGCTTGCGAACCACCACCGTAGCAAGCACGCGCCAAAGAGCAGAGGCCACGGCCAGGGGCCGGCGACCACCGTCCGGTTTAGGCAGGAGAGCAACACGGACCTGGCACCAGGCTCGCTGCAAGCTGGCCTCCGACAAACAAGCAGCCCAAAGCCGGGCAAGAAGCTCGTAAAAGTCCAGGGGAAGGCGCGACAATTGGCTGGGAGCCCAGCCGTCAAGACCAGGGGCACGGCGAGCAGAGGCACGCATGCAAGCAAGAAGGGCCTCAGCGGTGGGATAAAGGTCATCCTGAGTCCAGGCAGCGGCAGGAGGACCCTGAGCCAAACACCAATGCCAAGTCTCGTCAGCAGAATGCGCAGGCTCGCGCGTCCACTGGCGACGCCACCTGTCGTGCTCCTGCGCGGCGATGTCCAAAGGGTGAACCGGGTCACCGCCAGGCGGGCGAGGATCCGCAGCGGGAACGCGCCGGATCCACTGGCGCATACGCTTAGGGTTCGGCTGAAGAGCCTTATGCCAACTAGCAACACGGAAGGCCACCGAGGAAGCTTCCAAGGAAGCAGCAGCGGACAGCGCATCCTCAACCAGCCGAGGCAAGTTACCTTGAAAAGAAAGGCCAAGCGAAGAAGCCGAAACACACAACTTGCGTCTCAACACGGGAGCGTCGTGGCTATCCGGGAAGCGAAGAAGCTCAGTGGCACGACGCGCCAAGCGGGGGAGACAGCGCTCCTTGTGGGACTGAACCGTGGGCGCCTTGGTAGAAGACAGGGCCACAGGTCTGGGACGGAGCACTTGCGACCGGCGCGCAGTGCCACCAGACGACCGCACAGGGTCCAACAGAAGGGTCTCAGCCGCGTCGCTCAACAAAGACCAAGCAAGGTCAAGGTCACCAGTTTGCAAAGCAGAAGAGAACTCCGAGTCACGCGGAGCCCAACTAACGCGCCAGGAATCCGAAGAGACAGGCTCCACGGAGTCAACCAAAGGCAGACGGAAAGGAGCCCGCAGAACCGCCCGAAGGTCACGGTCGATGCCAAAGTCGTAGGCAATCAAGTCGTGATCTGCCGGACCACGAGTTTGCTGACGAGCCAAAGCCGGGAGACCGACGGTGGACAAAGCGAAATCCACACATCTGCCGGTAGGAAGACCATGCTTATCACGTCTAGTGGGAGGCATCACGCAGCCGCCCAAGACAACCTCGTCGGCATACCTCCAGGAACCCTGAGTTCTCACCTCGGAGATAGGGGCGTGATTCGCAGTGAGATTGAAATCACCAAGCAGAACACACTCTTCACCAGTAGACGCCAGAAAGACAAAGACGTCCCTCAGAAGCGACGCAGCCTGGGTTTCAGAGGGTTTAGGGTTTAGTGTTTAGGGTTTAGGGTTTTGGATTCAGGGCTTAGGGTGTAACTAGAACATACCTTAAGTGATCCTAGGTATCATATGCTTGGGGCACAGCTTAGGGCGCTAAGGTCTTATAGGCTCCTTTTAAGGAATCCCTTGGTGGGGGTTCCTTGAAGGGTGCATGAAGGGATTCTTTATCGGTTGTAAAATTATATACGTGTTTGCTTTTTTTTTGCCTCCATGCTCCTATTGTAATATGACTGACGTAAAAAAGTCTATTCTTGTTCCTAGTGGGTTGATATTCAACAGCCTAGTGAGGGTCCTATACGGTCTTACGTAAGGAATTACGTAAGGGGTTCTTTAGGGCTTTGAGGCTTTAGCGCTTCAGGGTCTAGGGCCTAGGATTTTGGGTTTTAGGGTTCAGGGGTTTAGGGTTTAGGATTTGGGTTCCTGTAATAAGGGTTCCTTCAGGGGCTCCTGCAACGGCTGTTTCAGGGATCTATACTATACTGCTTTAGTCTAAGACATTTTCAGGTGGGTAGTTGCCGTTATAGGAGCCTTACTTATAGAAGGGCTACAAACCTTATAGAAGCCTTATGAAAGCCCTATATACCCTAAACTCCCCACCTGTAGTTTCCTTTAAACACAGAGTGGTTTAGTTACCCTAAACCCCTGAACTCTATAGATCTAAACCCTACCCGAAGGCTCATGGACCCCCATAGTGAAAGCCCAAACCTTGCCCCGCAAAGCCCAAACCTTCCCCTAGAAAGCCCATAACAGCAAGAAGAGCCTTAGGGTAAACCCTAAACGGCTTAGGGTCGTCGTGTTTGGGTTTGCAGTTTGGTTCGGGTTTAGCGTTCAGCGTCTAAGGGTCTGAGTGTTTTGAGTTTCCCTAAGGATCCATGCGCCCAAGTAGTATGTACTTTGGCCACTAAGTAGTGCCTAGGTAGGCCTAGGGTTTAGGGTTCAGGCTTTAGGGTTTAGGGTTTAGTTAGGGATTTTGGGTTCAGGGTATAGGGGCCAGGCTGAGGGCTTTTGAAGTAAGACCCTACAACACAGACCCAGAGCTGCAATTCCAAGTAGAGATTGGTGCAAAGGAACGGGCGGCCAGTCGCACGGTGGACGCGTACACCACACCCACGACCCTTGAGCACCAAAGTCTCAGGCAGGGCAAACTGGACAACCGGCACACGAGAGATAATGGCGGTACCATACTGGGGTTTGCCATCGATGGCCTCCGCATGCGGGCCAAGCACGCAGTGCCAACCAGCCTTAGCAAAAGCCGCCTCAACCGAAGCGCGCGAGTGAACCGGCACACGCGTTTCTTGAAGCGCCAACAAGTCCAGGCCAAGAGAGACGCACAAAGCGACGACCGTGGCAACACGGCCCGCAAGAGTGGCAACGTTTAGCGTGCCCAGGCGGAGTCTGTCAGCGACCACCGTCATGAGCAGGACGAACACACAGGCCAGTGGGCGTGGACGACGCACAAGCAGTGAGAACCGGAGCCGAGGACGGAACAAGAGCGTTGTCAGACCCGATGGGCAGAGCGGGCGCGGCGATGGTATGCGGATCGAGGCCAGCGGCCCCAACCTCAGCAAGCGAAGACACGACATCAGCAGTCGCAGCCGCAGAGGAGCTGGTAGCACAGAAAGCAAGCCCAGAACGTGGGTGGCAGTGCGCGAAGCAACGACATCATCAGAGGCGATGGCCTGCTCAAGCTCACGTCTCCTGCGTGCAGCTCCACGGTTCAAGGGGCCACAGCGCGACGAGTTCAGCTTCCGGCGAGCCTCCGCCGCGCACGTGCCGGCGCACGCAACGCACACACACCTGGAAGGAAACGAGTGCCCCTTCGGCCCGAGGGTGGGTCATGCGACAACCACAACCTCATGCTTGCGCAGAGCCGGCGGTGGGCACCGCTTGCCAGTGACCCGGCGAGTCTGGCGGTCAGTGGCAGCCGTCAACAGCTTGAGCAGCCGCTTGACAGCAGCGAGAAGCTCAGGGGAATGCTCTTCCTCAAGGGCAGCCCGAAGCTTGGCGATAAACTTGGACCGCCCAGCAGAACCCGGGCTCGGGGCACAGCGTAAAGCACGCAACCGTTTCGGGGTGTCACCGTACTGCGCGCAAGCGGTGCAAAAGTGCACGAGCCGCGTGGCCCTGGCCTTCTTAACCGCACTGCCGAGCCAAGGGATGCGAAAGAACACCACCTTGTGATCCCCGTACTCTCCCGTGCGCCGCTGAAGGAGGCGGGGTGCAACCCCAGCCGCAAGGACCGCTCGAGTGGCCTTTGGTGCATTATCACGGGTGGTTGGCAGCAGGAAACTCTTCTTTGAGGCACCAGGGTGATGCTCACGTTGGTGGCGAAGGCGAGCTTTGAGAGCAGTGTCCTTGGAAATAGGAGGCTGTTGCTCCAGCAGGGCCAGGTTGCAGCAGGGACACGGCCAGAGAACGGTGTCTGTCGGGCCAGGAAGCCGAAAAACCGGAAGCACACGCTGGGAAAACAGATGCAGGTGTTCCGGGTGCCAAGCTCGGACATGATTAAACCGCTTAGCATACCATTTACCGTCAGCGACAAAGTCGCACCACTCACATCGCCAACAGTCGGCAGCCTTGCGCCTCCCTTTTAGGACACGGCCACGTGAGCCTAGTCTGACCTGAGGTGCAGGAGCTGGCGGTGGGGGGAGGCCTTCAGCATCAGTCAAACCTCCTTCATCGCAACCATCAGGCTTCGGCGACCCCTCTAAACGAAGCTGAACGGCAGGGTCGCGCCGTTGAGGATCAATTTGATTGGCCTGGGCCTTCTCAGCTGTCAAGCCCTGAGCGCTTGCAACACTGGCACCGTCGACAGACTGCGTGAAGAAGTCCTGGATGCTGCGAGGTTGGTCCTTTTGGCCTCGCCCAGACCCCTGCGCCTGGCGGTAGGCCGTCGGGGCTGAGGAGGCAACAGAGGGAGCCGGGCGGGCCCACGCACAGAAGCACAAGCCGATGCCGCAGCGTGAGGAGCTCGATCACCAGGCACATCAATGTCACCACCGTGGTTTAAATCACCCGGGTGCGAAATCTCATCGCCCTGAGGTGGCACAGCTGCCTAGCAAGGTGGTACGCCGTGGGCGCCGAAGATGCCAGTGAGGGTTTCGGGGTCGGCCTCGTCCAGCACCAAACGCAAAACCTGAAGGGGTCGAGGATGGAGCCGAGGACCCGGCCCGCGGGATTTGACGATCTGGCCCTTCCTTAGCAATGTCCATGATAACACTTGGGTACACAGTGCCCTCCGACGGCAGCAGCAAGTCGTAGTGATTGCGGGTGTGGAAGAGGGCGACCGGTGGATGAGCAGGATTGCCAAAGCAACATGTGACCCGCGAAGCGTCTTCCGGCAAGATGAGCAAACAGATCCTCAGAGTTTTTGCGCATGCGACCAACGCTAAGTGACCTGCCCAGGCGTCGGCCACAGCCATTCTGACCAGGTAATCAACCCAGTTCTCAACGCCCTGACCGCGGTCGTCAACGCGATCCCAAAATTCAACATACGCTTCTGGATACCGCCTCAAATGAGCTACGGTCTCGGCTCTAGCCTGCGCCGCCGAAACCTTGCGATCATGCAGCACCTCAAGGGCCCTCGAGACGGCGTGAAAGCGGCCCCACTCGGCCCCACTGTCCCACTTGGCGCTTCCTGTCAGCAAATACTTCCACTTGAAGAGGATTTAGCTAGGCCCCAATGCATGCCCCTTCTCAACCCCACCCGGCCCCACTCAGCCCCACTCGGCCCCACTCAGCCCCACTCGGCCCCACTCTGTCCCNNTTTAAGAGGATTTAATTAGGCCCCAATGCATGCCCAACCCCTTCTCAACCCCACTCTGTCCCACTTCCTGTCAGTGAATGCTTCTACTTTAAGAGGACTTAATTAGGCCCCAATGTATGCCCAACCCCTTCTCAACCCCACCCACTCAGCCCCACTATTTAATTAGGCCCCAATGCATGCCCAACCCCTTCTCAACCCTACCCGGCCCCACTCAACCCCACTCGGCCCCACTCAGCCCGACTCTGTCCCACTTGGCGCTTCCTGTCAGTGAATGCTTCTACTTTAAGAGGCCGGCCCCACTCAGCCCTACTCGGCCCCACTCAGCCCCACTC